TCAAAACTTCAAAAGTAGAAGATATGAAAAGAGATCACCAAAAAATATCTTGAAACCTATATAGATTTCATCAAAAGAATTTAAATGTGAAAAAATTGAAAATGGATGCATTTCCTGCAAGAACATAATGTTAATTTGAACTCAGTCCAATTAACAGATAGATACAGATGTATTTAAAGGTGTACATCCAATCTTCTCCAGGTCAGAATGACTGGTTTCTGCCTGGGAGACACGCAGATGCAAGATCTTTGCTGTGTCTTTGGTCTGAGCTGACTAATGCTATGCAACTGTATGTCTCTCAATATCTTTTAACTGGTTTGGATGGCCAATAAGGGAGGACATCTCTCTATAAAAGTTTACTACCCAAGAAAATTGCTCAGTATTTCAGGAACGAAATTTTGTACTACTGAATTTATACTTGCTAACAATACTAAGTAAATATTAATACCTTAATACTTAGCCCAGCATTTCTAATATTGGTCAACTGCCTATTTACTGAAGTAAATTCTAAGAATAAAAGGCAAAATATACCTGTTACTGGAAGACAGATCTAAGACTTCAGACTTCGCTTAATATTATAAATCTCTTGGCACTTCTCCATGCTTCTGTTTCCTATCTTTTACTTTTTGTCTCTCTGTCTATCTTGTTGTTTTAAAACTGTAAACTCTGCACAGAAGAAATGATCTCTTGCTATACTTAATATAGTGCTTAAAACAATATGTCTCTGATGATAGTTCAGGCTACTCAGTTCTACTGCAATTAAAAAACCTACTTAAAATTTAATGTTCAATTACACAAAAAGCATGAAATCTTTTAACCATTAACAAAAATCTCCTCTTCAATCCAACACATAACAATGTGATACAAAAATAAGTACTTTCATATACATTGGCAGTATGCATAGTCATTTGGTAGAATGAAACAGTTCTTCTTAAAGACTTTTCTCAAGCTAAATCTGTAAAATCTGTAACTCTACCATATCTTCCTGTGGAAAAAGCTAAGTATTAATCCATTGTTATCAGTGTACTCTATACAGTATTAAAAATATTAGCTATAACAGTTTCTCCAAAGAAAATCTCTGAGAATTTCATTAAAATAGCTATGCAAAATACAGTCAAAAAAATCCCCAATATTCTAAAAAATATTAATATAGAAAATCAATGATATAACATTTTACATAACTAAGGAAGATAGATTAAAGGAGAAAGATAAAAAAAAAGTAGAAAATTTGCAAAGATCTAGAGAAAATAAATATAGTACTTTTTTTTCTTTTTTCAATTTGCTTTACAATGAAAAGATGTGAGAAAGGGAAAAAAATGAACTCTTACATCATTCGTGTTAACATGCCAGGCCATGTCACCATAGGATACCAGCTGACCATTCACGTAACATCGTATTTCACTGTTTCTCCATCGATTATAGATGTGTACAATGCTTATCATGTACCACTGGAAAGACATGGAAAATCAGTATAAAGTGACAGTTTTTGTGCTACAAAACATAAAGTTAATGAATGTCATTAAAAATAAGTGACCAGTATTGTAAAGTTATACAAACAGATGAATCCTTGCAAACTAGTAAAATTAAAAGTAAAGTCAGTGGAACTTCAAATCCAGACAGTAGAATCACGGCTAAATGTAATGATGTACCTGCTTGCATTCCTTTATGGGATTAGAGCCAATAATGTATACATACATACACTTCCATTCCTGAAAGCATAATTTAATTTAAAAACTCTATGCTGTAACACAAAACATAACTGAGTTCTAATGGGAAATCCAGTTCTTTGTGCACTTACCTTAACAAATTCATATCACATATCTCTGCCTTTTCCTCATAGCTCTCTGTCAGAAATTATTAAGTAAAAGGAAAAAATTCACAACAGCAAATTTTACAGCCCCATTTAAGATGCCATCTTGATTGCTTCATATGATTTTCTTCCTCTACTCTTTACCATTCCACAAATTTTTGGACAACTATCATATCATTAAAAATGCATTATATAATCAAAGAGAGAAAGCATCACAGTAAAATGCTTCCAAGTACAACTATGGCAATCTTTCAAATAATCTGTTCAG